GTACTAATTTTCAGTCCCACCAGCAGTGTAAGAGTGTTCCAATCTCTCCACGTCCACACCAGCATTTGTTGTTTTGGGACTTTTTGATAAAGGCCATTTTCACTAGAGTTAGGTGATATCTCATTGAGGTTTTGATTTGCATATCCCTAATGATTAGAGATGTTAAGCACTTTTTTATATGTTTGCTGGCCATTATTCTGTCTTCTTTTGAAAAGTTTTGGTTCATGTCCTCGGCCCATCTTTTGATGGGGTTGTTTGATTTTTTTCTTGTGAATTTTCTTAAGTTCTATATAGATTCTTGTTATTTTTATTCCCATTTTCTATATAGGAAAACTGAGGCCCAGGGAGGTTAGGTGATTTGCCCAAGATCACACAGCAGTGGTAGAGATGGGATTCAAACCCAGCCAGTTCAGCTCTAGGGTCCAAGCTCCTAAAAAGTACTATCCTTGCCCACATTAATATGCATAAACTGATCAGAACCAGACCTGGGACTGCTAGAAAATTTAACATGGAAAAAAATTTCCAAATACATTACATTAGACATATCACTCACTATTATATAACTGTGACTAAATTTCCAATCCACTTTATTCTAATTTAGTTGAAACATTTGCACATTTTGCATTTTTAAAAATATGTATTCAGCTGAAAAGCAATACATATTTATGGTGAATTGAATTTGTGCCACAAGATTTTTGAGTTGTTGACAGGAGTGGAAATGTCATGGACTAAGCTGAAACATCTCTGATTATGGCCTCTAAAGTAGTATAAATATAAATAAAGTTAGAAACAGCTGTGTTTGCAAAAGTAAGCTAATAATATTTTAAATTGCTCATTCAAGGCAAATGTCTTTGAAACTCTTTGCCTAGGCCCAAATACCATGTTTTCAAGCCTTCCTCTGTAAATCCTTATACCTTCATGCTACCCCTCTGGTCTTCACAGGAGTAACTAACTTAAGACCTAGTCTATCCTCCAAAACCAACCTCTTCCCTCCTTTAGAACCCAAATACTCACTCCCTAAGAGTAGGAGGAATCCACTTAGTCTAGGAAAATTAACATAAAAATGTTGATGTAAATGCCCAGTGGCCCCTGAAATTTTCCAAAGGCTTTTGTGTTTTAGACAGAGGGTACTTTGATAGTCCAAATGAATCTCTAATTGGTAGAATTATTATGATGAAACAAAGGGCATCCACAGGGAAGTGGCTGCAGAGAAAGTAGTATTTTAGAGCAAAGAAGTTATTAAGAAATTGTTCCAACCTAGAAAAAGAAAAAAAAAAAAGCTTTCTTTCCACTTCTGAACATTTAAGGTTAGATCAAATGAGGGGAGTTGGTCCCTACAAATGTTCCTGTGGCTACTGAAAGTGGCAGAAGAAGCTGTCATTTGCATGCATGGGTCATTTGAAAGGGAATTGTTTGCAAATGGAAAATTGCCTGGATCTTTCACATAGAACAGAAACACCATCCCATATAGGTTAATTGGGGAAAGAGGTATATCTTATTTTTTCAATGATTTCATAATTCATTCAACAAAAAATTATGACTATTAAGCACTGTGCCAGACACTGGAATTCCAAAGGAGAACATTCTGTTTATTAACCCTTACTGTGAACAAAAGAAGTGCTTGCATATAGAAATGATTCCAACAGATTCCCTGATTTAGCCATTCCCTATGTTTGGCAACAGGGATAAAAAAATGAATAAGCAATTCTTCAAGGGGCTCACAGTTCAGTGACATATTTTTTAATGCTTGATGAAGCATTATAATAACATGATAAGTCTAAGTGTGGGGCATCTAGTCAATTCGATCTGGTTTTGCAACAAGATTGTCATAATTTTCAGAAACTTAGCTTTACACAGATGATTTTCTTTATCTTAGAATAGGCACTTACCTACTTATCAACACAATAATTTCTCATCTGTTTCAGTCCCATGATTCAATACCCAGGTCCCAAAATTATATTTCTGGCTAACAGAGAGGCCAGATATGCTCTTCACAGGTGACTCTATTTGATAGACATCTGCAAAACTGTCCAGAAAGCATCTAACAAAAATGGGCAGTAAGTCTCAGTGGGATCTAAAGTGAAATTGTCTTATCTGTTTTAGTTCAGGTTCTGTTGAAAAGAAGGGCAACTCCAGAGTGTTACTAGGGATTCTATTTTTCACATACAGGTCCCTGATCTGGGTAAGGAACCACCTCCAGGGTAGATCCCTAAAAGGATGGAAGAGTGTGTGTGTGTTCCTGTCCTCCTGCCAGATTCTCTGAAGAAAATGGAAAGCAGAACAAGAAGGCACGCCAACTTGAAGACTGGTGGAAAACTGCTATTTCACTTAAAGTAGTAGGTGGCAATGGGGCTAGATTATGACTAAGAAAAGAGAATGAAAACGAGGAACACATGAAACTTGGAAATATTGAAAATTAAAGTCTTCACCACATAAAACAATGAGTGTGTTAGAAATTTAGTGTAGAAACATATGTGAGTAAAAACTGGTATTACTACAAGACACATATTGGACCACAAATGAAGAATCAGAAAACCTCAGAGGCTTCAGGTGCCTCTCCAGAGGTGGACAGCCCTTTGGAGACCCTGGTGGTGGCCTGAACCTCACTGAGAGTCAGGAAAGTACTCTGGGCTTTGAGAGGTCAGATAGTGTGGGTCTCTCATTTCCACACTCTATTTCTTGCAGATAAAATCATTTTATGTATACTATTCCAAGTTGAATAAACTATATGAATATTTTTTAAAAAGAATCTGCTGGTAGGGCCACTGAACTGTCTTATAGGGTATATGTTCCCATAGGAGCATCTTATAGGCATTTCTCCTTTATGTCAAGGCATTCTAAATAATATATGGTTACTTAAACTAAAAAACACTTAAATTGACTTTCCTAAATGCAATCTAAAAATAGTTTACAATAATAAATTGATTATTATGTATTGTAGTGAAATTCTAAGTCAAACAGAGATTTCTTTGAAGGAGACATTGAATGTATACTTCTTAAATTACACATCTTTCTTGATTTCAGTGCTAATATGAAAATGGATGGCAAAACTTGCACCAAAGATAGGAAGAATTAAATTATTTTAGCTCAGCAGTCCAAAAACTAAAACTTGTTTAGCTGTGGTGATTGAACCACTAGTCAAAAAAAATTCAGTCTAAATGAACACTGTGACTCGTATTGAACAAAAATTATTATGGTCATTTTGACTAATAGGTGATCAACAGACATAAACACTGGCTAGGAAATCAAACTTTCTTTCAAATTACATATTATTTTCATTTAAGTGATATATTAAAATAATGCTAAATAAATAAGATTTATCTATAGTGGGCAAACCTTTCAACTTGTCAGTATCTTAGACTGTGTCTAAGTGATGCCACAGTAAGTATCCACTTACTTAAAAACATATACATATTAAATACCATAGGAAAATATTCAGATCATATTGTTATGTAAAAGGTAACTGGTTACAAAATAGTAGGCACACCATGGCTTCAGTCATATAAAAATGTATATATATACGTGTACACAAATCAATATATAGGTGCAACTGGAACGTAAGCACATATGGAAAAGACTAAAAGAATATACTCTCCCAAAGTAATTATTACATGATTAAGCGAAAGAAATATATATGCCTCTATTTTTAGAATTAGACATCAAACTCATGATATTAAAATCAACTTAAGATCTCTACTTAATTTTTCCATCTGAAAATCATTTGTCTAATTAAGAATTTAGACATTTAAGAATTTAGAACCTATCTTAAGAAATGGCCTTCTTCATTTTTACCAGGTTGTGAGGAAGTATCATTCTTGGGATCTAGCAACAATATTTGGGGGGGGAAAACAAACAAGCAAATAATATTTCCTCACTTTAATGTGTGCTAGGGGTATCAGTTATGTGCAAAGGCAGTTCCAGATAAGAATCTGCTTTAAAAAAAAAAAAATCACTAAAACTTTGGTTGTAAACTGTTATAAGACATTTGATAGAAATTTCACAACAGAGTCAATGGTGATTAGGAATTTTATGAGTTTGCTCAGCTCTTCTTTGTGTGTTTTAACAGAAATAGCAAATTCGGTTTTACTTACTTTGGGGCCTTGTAGTCCTGGTTTTCCCGGAGGACAAATACAGGGAGCTGGAGTAGAACCTACATCGCTGGGACCATTAAGGCACTACAAAGACAAAACTGGAAATAAACAACAAGCATGGAAGGATATGCAAGCACACACGCATGTGTATGTATCTGTATGTTTGTGTAAAATGGTAAAAATATCTTATGGTCATTTCCCAATTTTATTTAGCCCAATCCAGTGAGAAATTCCAAATCACAAACATCTGTAAACACTAAATACATTCAAATTACATAAAAATGGGTTCTATTTTTCTAATATACTTACAGTTGATAGAAGGAAGCTAAACAGTCCCACAATGCAAATATTACCTTAAGGAGAATAACAGTATCCAAGCATACCTCTCCATTCTGAAAGAAAAACAATAAATATGTTTTTAATTAAATTCCTAAATTATCATCCTAATTTACAGATATTTCATTGTCCAGATTAGAGATATATGAAGCATCAAAACCAGGAAGAGCCAAAATATTTGCTATCATCTATTCTAAAAAATCACTTATCTATACATGTTACTACTCCATTAACAATAGGATAAAGGAAGGAAATTAATAAAAGTGAAGAGTAGAAGAAGAAAATTAAAACACCACAGCTGCTCAATATAATAGCCATGCAAGATCAAAAGTACCTCAAGGTGAGATTTCTATGCTCTCTTGAACTTTCTGGAAATCATTTAAGAGCCAGAAGAAAAAAGTCAAAACACATCTGAGCAAGTCACAAACTACATGCTTTAAAATTTTATGCAGTTAATTTTAGGAAAGTTTCTCACTAAACGGTCTGTTTCTTATTGAATATAATTTTAAATAGGTCAATAATCTTTCTAAACAAGAAAAATTAGATAAAAAAAATGAGAAGGTGGGAATGAAAGTGCAAAAGGCAAACAAGCCATATGAAGTCACAGCTAAAAAGAAGGAAGGAGACATAAAAATATTAAAAAGTGGCTATAAGAATTCAAAATGTGCAATCTAAATCTGAGTTATGTGGGAGGGTAATGGTCATATGTCAATGCAGACATCAATAAATAAAATATGTACAATGGGCCCTCAAGTGCAATGACTTATTAATAATTTTAGGGGAGATTTATATTCCAAGTTATAAGTACCTAAAATAAAAATTATAATGTTTAAACAATTATCTATCTAGAAACCTCAGAATGAATCATTTCTAGAAGGTTCCATGTTTGATTTTATCATAGATCTTTTAAATGCACTGCTCTATATCCTTAAGTTTGCAGAACATGTAGATTCACAAGTTACACCATTTGATAGGAAAAAAGAAGATGATGACAGCGTGACTATAAAAATTAAAAGAACCGTGAATAACTCAAATATCACTGGGAATCTACATTGTCAAAAAGTTTTTCAACATTCTGCCATATTTCCATTAACAACAATACACTATTTTTTTTCCCAGGGAAAAGAGATTGATTACATTTACACACACACACAAACACACGTGATCAGACGTTGTAACATTTTACTTATAATCTTTTTCCTCCTAACACATTAATGAAAATGGCTAAATAAATAAAAATGTTGTTTATATCCTAAATGATAAGAAAATCTTACTAAGGTAAAAACAACAAAAAGAAAACTATTTTATGGTTTGAGGAAAAGTGCTGGGGAAAAAATAAAAGTAATGATTTGTTCCTCTTCAAGACTGTGCTGTTTGGAGTGTTCCATCCACCCACTTAATTAAATATAATAATGTATTCCCCACACGGATATTCAGACAGAGCCTTCTGGAGTAGGTCTAGTCCCGCTTCACCTGAGCACTGGAATAGTCACAATCAGAGATGACATGGGGAAAAAACATTGTCTTGTCTTTCATTCATACTTGCACAGTGACACATCATAATTTGATTTCAATTATGAATATAAAAATATGTTTGTTCCATGTAAATTTACTTCCATGACAATAAAAAATCAAAATTAACTTTACATATTAAGCAAGACTCGGATATTATCTGCTTTTTATTTATTGCTTTAAAAGTACAAATGCAACACCAGGGGAAAAATAAACCATGCTACTTACAAATCCAGGAATCTCACATGCTGTCTCTCGGTTGTTCTGTTCTGGGTCACAGTAGATTCGCAACTTTTGGACGTCAAACTAGGAATACAAACCCAGTAGAGTTAAAGTTAAGGCACAAGCTAACTGCTTTATAAGAGCAACTCAGATACACAGAAACAGCCACTACAGTTAGTAATTGTGTAAGGGTTACATCACAGCATTTAGCTAAAACAATAAAACACAAAATTTGAATACCTGACTTATACTATAAAGATGTGATGTAACATAATTCCTAGAGAAAAATTACCTAGCACCAAGAGCAAATCTCTGATTTCCTTCTAGAACCCAGTATAGTTTTTTCAGTAGTCTTGTATTAACAGCTAGTCTAAAAAGCATTTTCTAGGTAATTAAAAGCTTCCCCAGGTTTTCTATGCTTATCCTAAATCTCTGCAACATTCCTGATTATGTATGGTGGGCTCAAGAAGTCATCTTTGGTTTCTTTGGTTTTAGAGATTTAGTTGCTGGCATGGAGTGTTGTGTGATAAGTAGGCTCAGCACCTGTTACTGTTTAAATATTTACTACAATTTGACATGCAGTATTAATACATAGTGACCACATGTGTAAACACACATTTGAATATGATGGTCTTCCCTTAATAGGAACAGAGCAGGAGAAACATACCTTTTCAAATAAAGATTTTTCTAAAAATGGCTTTTACATACACACTTCTCCACCCAAATACAGATATTCCAGTTTAAAGAGATATCAAAAAAGTCAAAACAAAACTTTTTTAGGTATGATTTGAACATATTATAATAGCTTTATTTTTAAGTAACAGTTTTGTTTGTGGAAAACCCTGACATGCATTAATCTAATTTTATCCTCACAGCTGCAAAGAAATTTTTATAGTCTCCACTTACAGTGGAAACTATAGTCTCTTTTCCAAACTCATTATTTAAACTATGTATCTCCTGGGAAACATGAAATTAATGTTTCCTGGAAATGCAGAATACTACTTTGAACCCAGAGAAACATTTTTCTAAGTATTCTTATAAAATAGAGGGATCCAATTTTGCGTTTTCATACACACGCACATTAATTTCACTAATGAACTGACCACACTTTTGTTAAGTATCCTAAGGGAATTCGTAATTAAGTTAAATACAATTAAATATGATAAATACCATTGCAAAAGACCGCAAAAGTTTCATTTTATACAATGCAAAAACCAAATCATTATTTATCTACCTGAACAGTTTCTTCTTTCCCAGAATATTTTCCAATTTGGGTTTGCCCACTGATGAAGATCCCTAAAACTGGGTGTAAGAGCTTGTTTTCAATTTGTTGATCATCGATGTACAGAGTTACATCTTTCTCTGTTACTAAGAGACGAATTTGGTGCCAGTCTTCATCAAATAAAGTCTATAGGAGGAAAATATAGAACAGTCATAAGTAAAACTCTTAACAATCTTTTCTTTTATTAATCCCTATCTGAGTTCTTACTACATATTCCAAAGTAGTTGTGCCAAACAATTTACTAAAACTCCCTCAAAGTCACAAATGAGTTACTAACCTCTGAATGCAAATGGCTTCTCTCATTTCTCATCCTATTTCCTTCCCTGCAACTTTGGACCCCGTAAACTAGTCCATCTTCCTTGATATTCTCACTCAGCTTCCATGATTCAAACCGCCTGATCATCATTGTTTCTTCCTCTACAGTTGCTCATTCTCTCTCTCTCTCTTTGAAGGCTCCTCTCCTTCAGCCTGCCCTTTAAGGAGGGCATTCTTCACAAGTCTGTCCTTGACTTTTTTTTTTTTTTTGAGACAGAGTCTCACTCCATTGCCCGGGCTAGAGTGCCGTGGCATCAGCCTAGCTCACAGCAACCTCAGACTCCTGGGCTCAAGCAATCCTCCTTCTTCAGCCTCCCGAGTAGCTGGGACTACAGGCGTGCGCCACCATGCCCAGCTAATTTTTTTTTCTATATATTTTTAGTTGTCTGGCTAATATCTTTCTATTTTTAGTAGAGATGGGGGTATTGCTCTTGTTCAGGCTGTTCTCGAACTCCTGACCTTGAGCGATCCTCCCGCCTCAGCCTCTCAGAGTGCTAGGATTACAGGCGTGAGCCACCGCGCCCAGCCTGTCCTTGACATTTTTCACTCTCCCTTTGACTATCTCATCCATTCCCACAGGCCAATTATAACTTCTATGTATTAACTCCCATATCAACAGCCTAGACCTGTCTCCTACATGTGGGCCCTATCATTCTAATACTAGCTAGAATAATTTTGCCAGGATGTCTCAGAAATTAGCCCAACAGTGTACATAAAAAAATGAACTTCAACTATCCTGTAAACTTTCTTCCTTTCCCTATTTCCCTTAGATAATAATATCTTCTTTTACTTAAGTTTCTTTCCACGGGTCAAAATAACTAGCCAGATGCAAAGTTCTACAAAATATGTTTCTTCAGCATGACTCAAATCCACTTCCCTATTTCCATTTTTACTGCCGTAATTTAGGTTCATGGATATCTTGCTTCTATTGCAACAATTTTCAGATATATCTCTATCTCTGACCTTTTCCTCTCCAAAGCATCCTTCATACTGCCACTAGAATTAATCTCTGTCACTAGAGTTTTATTAGTTGAGATGCTCCATTTTATTAATCTCTGTATCCTCAGGACCTGGCATAATTCCAGGGTAAAGTTGAAAGTATCATTATGAAAAGAAGAAGGAAAGGAGAGGAGAGGATTGCTTTCACCATGACACAACAATGATCAAGACTTCTTGATGGAGTCTGTCATTCACTGAATAAAGTCCAAACCACCTTGTATAGCTTCCCAGATCCTCACAAATTGGATTTACACCTTGCTAGCCTTTTCTTCCATGCATGTTATACTCCAACACAGAGACACCACTTTATATTCTCTAAATAAAAACCCTGCATTTAACTACACACATGACTACACAATACTGATCCATTAACTTAATGTCCTCTTACATCTTTCTCCATTAAAATACTATATAGCCTTCAAGGTCCAGTCAAAATCATCTCATTTATGAAGATTTTCCTATATTTTGTGTTAGAACTCATTTTCCCCTTCACACTCCACTAAGGCATTGTACTTCTATTTGATAACAGTTGCCTTGAATATCCCATTATAAATAAGCTCATTAAAATGAGAAACATGCCTTAATCATTTGTCATTTCTTATATTAGGTTATTAAGTATGGAATGTCTGATTTTCTTAAGTACTAAGTTTGACAGTTGATATCTCTGACATTTCACTTTGACACTTCTTGGTTTTTTGTCTTGGTTTTTTTTTTTTAATTATGAAGGTATATCCTCATTCTTTCAAATGCATGTTTTGGATTATGATTATCTTGCAAAAATTTTTTTAGAGCAATTTCTGTGAAACCATGGATAAGTCAAAAATTTGTGTTATTTTTGAATATGAGTCCTATCATGGAACAAATGCAGCACAAACAGCTTGAAATACCAATGAAGTATTTGGGAAGGATGTGGCTAATGAAGGCACAGTACGTTAATGGGTTGAGAAGTTCCGTTCTGGTGATTTTCATCTTGAAAATGTGCCATATAGGTGACCTGAGACCAAGGTGGATAATGATGAGCTGAAAGCTGTAGTGGAAGCGAGTCCATTTCAACCTATGTGTGAATTTTCAGCAAGGTTTGATGCTACTATTTCAACAATATGGGACCATCTGAAACAAATCAGTAAGGTAAAGAAGCTGGATAAACGGGTTCTGTGTGAATTGAATGAGCGTCAGAAGAGAAATCATCTTGAAGCTTGCCTTTCTCTGTTGTCACAACATAAAGGTAAACCATTTCTACACCATATTGTTACATATGATGAAAAATGGATTCTTTTTGACAATCACAAGCATTCGTCACAATGGTTGGATAAAGATGAAGTGCTGGAACACAATCCAAAACCAAATATTCATCATAAAAAGCTAATGGTGTCTGTTTGGTGGTCCAGTGCTGGTATTACAGCTTCATGAAACCTGGTCAATTGATTACAGCGGATGTCTACTGCAATCAAATGGATGAAATGATGAGGATGCGTGTGCTTAAACAGCCGAGATTCGTCAATACAGACAGGCCAATCCTCTTGCAAGACCATATGTCGCACAAACAATGCTGCTCAAACTACAGAAGCTGGACTTAGAAACTCTTTGTCATCCACCGTATTCATCAGACCTTGTACCAACTGACTACCACTTCTTCCAGGCTTTGGACCATTTGTTGCAAGGAAAAATATTCAATTCTCAACAAGCTGTGGAAAATGCCTTTTGTGATTTCATTGCCACTTGCTCTCCAGGCTTCTTTGCTGGTGGCATAAACAGGCTACCATTAAGATGGCAAAACTGTGTCGACAGTTTAGGTACATACTTTGATTAACTGTACTGTTTCTTGTTTGAGATATAATAAACTACAATTTTGATTTGAAATCAGACATTTCATATTTAATGACACAAATGCACATTGGCTTCAGTGAGGATAGCATACAATAAACATTTTTAAATTTAATATGCTTAATGAGTGAAGAAATTGCATAAATGCATAATTTTTATATACAACCATGTACATTCCTAAATTGTATAATATACCTTTAGATTACCATAATTATAATAATGAACACAAGTTAATTGCTTTTATTATTGTATCTGTATTCTGAAAACACAACTTGGAAAATAAACTTTGTAAAATTTTATCTATTTTATTAAAGACATATTCCTTTTTAGGAAATGAAATGTCCTCCTAATTAAGGTAAATTCTGTACTCGGTATCTACATGGTACATATGTATGTATTTGAGACAGTGTCTCACTCTGTTGCTGGGGCTACAGTGCAGTGGCATCATCATAGCTCACTGCAACCTCAAACTCCTGGGCTCAAGCGATCCTCTTGCCTCACCCTTCTGAGTAGCTAGAACTGAGTAGCATGGTGTGTGCCACCATGCCTGGCTAATTTTTCTATTTTTGGTAGAGATGGAGCCTCCCTATGTTGCTCAAGCTGGTCTCAAACTCCTGGCCTCAAGTAATCCTCCTGTCTCAGCATCTCAAAATGCTAAGATTACAGGTATGAGCCACCACACATGGCCTCTACCTGGCATTTAATATTCTAGCATATATGTCTTTATCTCAATATCCTGTAGGACACACAGTGTAAAACAGACCAACATGGACTTTGAAATCAACCAGACCAAAATTTAATTCCTGATATCATCATTTATTAACTGTGCTGCTTTGAAGGGTAACTATATCCTTGAATATTAGGGATTTTGTCTGCAAAATGAAGCAATAGCTTCTTCACTGGGTGGCTATTATAATTAAATGTGCCTGGCACCTAGTAGTAGGCATTGAAAAGACGTTAGTTCCCCTCAGGCCCTGTCCCTAATTAAGAAACAATTTTCCTTCCTCTGTTGCTTTTCTTCAATAAAGCAACACTAAAATATGAAGTCAAAATCTCTCCAGTCATTAAAATTATAGCTCTCTTCCTCCAACACACACAAACCAAAAGATACTTCCCCATGATTACCATAATCATGGTATGATCCCAGGCATCTTTACCTTAACTTGAGGGTCAGCAAAAGTGACCACTTGTGACCCATTAATTATGCTGGTTGTTGTAAATAATAAGGTTTTGTCCACACCATTTAAGGTAACTGCTATCTGTGGCCTTCCATCAATGGTTAATATTCTCCATAGATCCCACATTTTCTTGACCTTAAATCTCTGAGTAGAGACAAATACATATGATGGAGGAAGACCTTCTGGGAAAACATTGCTAGAAAAAGAAGAACATGTGTAACTGTAAAGAATTCTCAACACGTCTATAGATCTATTAAAAAAAATTGCATCAACATATAATGTTTACCTTGTGGATTCTGATAAATCAACTTTTGATGTTACTTCATATCCTTTTATCTTTGTCGGTGAAAGCTGGATTCTTTTCTTAACCTTTTTCTTTACACCCAAACCTAAAAGAATATCAAATCCCTTCTCATCGCGAGCTGCCACTGGAATTCGTGTTGGACAGACAGATTCTATAAAGCAAAAAGCAGTAAAGTTGGTTAATCGTGGACTATTTCAACAAGAAAAAAAAAATACTAGAGAACATAAGAATTATGAAATCTATATATGTATATAAAT